AATACGATAAATATACGATGGTAAACATAAGAAATCTATGATCTATGTTTTCTCTCTTTAAAAACTAAAAATGTATCAGCGAAAAATATAATGCGATGTGCTAACTAATATTTACTCATCTCATTCATAACTTTTCAAAAAATAATTATTAAAACAATTCATTATTTAATTAAATTTATTTAAAAAATTAATTATGATATTTAATATATTAAATAATACATAAATAATACAAATTATTTAGATGCGAAATCCAAAATCGTTTTATTCAAAAAATTTAATAAAAACAATTAGATTAAAATATTTTAATAATAATTAATTAAATAAATAATTAAATGTGAACAAATAGTCAAATAAATTTGAAAAAAAATATGTCTTTGGTCGTTCTTCTTATCATTCTTATTACTGATATAAATTTGCGTGGTGCTGATAGCCCATTTGTATTTCTATCGCCAAGTGACAAAAATTTTTAATGAAATTACTAATAACAAGCTGAGATTAGCCTAATCAAATGTTTCAGTCGGTTGGAATGCGCAGTAGATTGTCAGATTGTAGTTTTAAAAGATTTCCTTCTGGATAAAAAATAAAATGATTCACAGCAAAGGCCCTTTATCACACTAACAACGGAATTAGCACAACTATTAATGGCTACGAATTTATGTAAATGGCTAACAATCAATCAAAAAACCCCCAAATTTGAAACCCCTTCGTTAAACGAGAATATCAAATTTAGATATAAATAGGATGGAATTTCGGTGGAAATTAAATTTTATTTTCGTTGAGAAATAAAATTCAAGTGAAATACCATTGTAAATTCGCGTATAAAGTAGAAAAATTTTTCTAAAATTTCTAAAAATAAATCAATTATTGCGAAAGAAATTTTATATGAATGACAGAAACTATAAAATAATTTGAAAACCTGTCACGATGATCAATCCACGCCTGAAGATATCATTTTCGATCGTTCAATAATTGATAATCTATAAAATTTTTTATCTTAGAAACTCGTTGTAAAACGATGCAATTTCGATTCGATTCCTGTTTTTTGTAATGATAAAAATTTGATTATAAATTTATCATTCGATAATTGCTAGAAATCGGTCGAAATCTCTATTCATCATCTCTATATTTTATGATTATAAAGTAAAAAATGACCTCATTTAAATATTAATACAACAAAATTTAACTAAAAAACTATTCCTATAAACCCACAAAAACGATAATTCATATTTCTGATAAAAATTTGATAATAATATTTACTTTGTATGTTAAAAACAAAAAAATATTAAAAATATCAAAATAATAGATATTAATAAAGATTAATCAAAATTAATCTTAAAATAATTATAAACATTAAAAAAGATTAATCAAAATTAATCTTATTAAAATAAGAAAAATTAATCAAATCAATCCTACGAACATTTTTTTAGCAAACGATTTTGCCTCGAATCTTTATTCTTTGTTCTTGCGTTGAAAAATCGAGTAAAATAAATGAGTTCAATCATTTTGGATAAGAAATCATTATTCATTTAGAAAAATGTAGGAATAAAATATCACATTTGCACATCACATTTCCACAAAATAAAAAATTTTATCAGAAAAGATCGTAGTTTCGATTCTTTTTCTTTTCAGAAATACGTTGTTTTAAATGAAGTCGACGATTCGCCGCATTTTCAGTTCTATAAAAGGAATAATTTGGACAATTTCGAATTTTTATATCTTATAAATCAGAATCTTAATAACAGAACTAAAACAGACCGTTCGACTTTATTTGCACAAATCGCTTTATTTTTCCTTTTTTTTTCGTAAATTGAAAAATGTCTTCTAATTTCTTGTTCTAAAAATTACAAAATAGCATTCCGGTTTAAGAAGCAAAAATATTTGTAACAAAACCATCCTATCCAATTACTTACTTTTTCTTTATAATTTCCAGTTCATTTTCAGATGGAATTCGATTTTCAAATTTTATTTCAGCCGAGCAATCTCTTAACATTTCCACTAACTTTTCAAAACAATTTTCAGCATTTTGAGACTAAAAATTTTCTTTTATAAATATTTAATATCCAAAATGCTTAATTTTTGGTTTTAACTTTCATCCTTAAATAAAATGAATTTACTTTCATTTCATAAAGCTTTCTTTAAAAGAGGCACTCAGTTTTGCTATTTAAACTCGCTCCGCTGACTTATTTCGCTGGATAAATAGGTCAGGAAGCCCTTTTATGACAGATGAATTGCCCACACCACAGGATTTTTGGATAGATTCACTCCTGCGGGGAATAAAATCTCAGTATTTTATCGCAAATTTACAAAAAATTTACAAAAAATTATCGCCATTTCAATAACTTACTCGAATTCGATATTTATCTGAGCTAATTACAACATCACCAGCCTTGCCAACAAATCGAGAAAATTTCTTACAAAATTTGTGGCGCAGTTCATCAGATATCCATTTAGCTTCATTTATATTAAAATAAATTTGGCATTTAGTGTTAGCTGAAAATTTATTCTTTGATAAAAAACAATCTCTTATTAAATATTACTTACAAACGGCATATACAATAATGCACATCTTAAGTGAAAATGAAATAGAACCATAGAACTGAAAATGGATATAAGGAATGGATGTAAGGTTTCTTGATCTATTTTCCTATAATATGAAAAAAAAAATTACTCATATTTACATTTTGGCCACCCGGACCACTGCTTCTCATAAACCGCTGACCAATTTTTCCTAAAAAAATAAATCGGTTAAAACAAAATATAACTTTTTAGCGAATATATCAACCAGATCAAAATTTCTGAAAAAACTAAATCATTTAAGGGGCTATTTATAAGAAGACAAATTGGTAAAAGAAAGGTATTATTTTGATAAACTATTATTATTTATATAAGAAGCCTAATTTAAAATATTTCCAATTTTTTTTGTAATACAATTATATAAAATATTTTTTAATATTAGAATATCGCTTTTTTTTTTTTAATACTTTCTTTAATTTTATGCAATTTTTTGTTTTTCAATATCATATTTCTAAATAATTTCGTTTATTTATAGCATGTAAAAAACATACGAACTGGTATAAAATTGCCATCAAATTCATATTGTTTGCAGTACAATATCTGTAAATTGTTTCATAAATTTTTACAGCATCAAACTACCAAAAATTTATTTCTTAATTGATAAAATAAAATAAGAATGGGACATTATAAAAAGTGCGAAAAGCACTAATCATTGTACAAATCTCATTCATCATTTAAAAAAGTCTCTTTTAAATTCTAAGATGAAACACGCAAAAAAAAACTAACCAAATCAATCAAGAAATACTGGACAACTAAATTTAAAGAAATTTATCGAAATTTTAACGAAAATTCTAAGAGTCATTTTAAAAAATAAGGTTTAATTTAATGATAATCTCCTAGAATTAGCCTTCATTTTTTTAGCAGCCAAATTGCAAGCCAAATCATTAAAGCCCAAACTGTAAATTACAATTAATATACTGCTAATTCAATTCCAAGTCAGCGGATGATCGCTTAGAATATAAATTTATGTCATCAATAAAATCAAAAGCCGAAACGTTTAACTTACACTCGCCGTATGATATGCAGCCGTATATCTCGAATAACAGTAAATTCGTTGAATTTTTTCGAAATAATAACCAACAGTTGCGGTAGATTTCGCTATGAATATCCTTAATAACATAAACTGGAAATTGAACAACAAATCACTCCAAAAATTATTTTTTTTTTAAAAACCAATTTCTAATTTTTTCTAAATTTTTTTTGCAAAAATAATTTCTTCATTATTAAATTATTTTAATTTCATTTATCTTAAATAAAAATTCCATTAAAAATCGGATTATATAATCTCTAATTCATTAACAAATTAATACTCATAAAATAAAATGTGACATTGATGTGAAATCAGACTATCAAAAAAAATAAAGAAAACTCGATTATCACCGACAAATTTTTTTATAATTACCAATAAAAATTGATGAACAATATTGTCTGTCACTGAACCCTTTTAAAAAGAATTTCTATAAAAATTTAATATCTCTTTTGATGCAAGCAACAAACACTTAACAAAATAATTTCTTGAAAAAATAAAAAATTTATTAAAATAAAAGAAATAAAATAATATAATAAGCAAAAATAAATTACAAGTGAATTAGCATTCATAAATCATTCTTTTTAAGTACCAAGTTCTGACAGTCTTCTTTCTCATTTCACTTAAGCTGCGAGTTTAAAAAAAAATTTTTTATCGCAAAAAAAATAACAACAAAAAAAACTGAATCTCTTAAATTTCTCAATAAAAAGCCTGAAATAGCTTGAAAAAATAATCTGAAAATCAAAAAAATGGAAAAAATTTTTAGAATTTCTCTGAAGAAATTAGCGCTAGAATGTGGCAACAAGCGCAATAGCTTTTCATAAAGCTTAAGAGACATTTATGAATGAATGATATGGCAAGAAAATAATTAAAATGGAAATATAAAATAATGAAAATTTGGTGATAAATCAAAAACATTCTCATCGTAAGAAACAATATATAATAATACAATATATAATAAAGCTTATAAAAGCCCTTCATAGTTTATAAATATAAACATAAATCGAGAGAATTTTTCTGTAGAATATGATAAAAAAAACCTCATTAAAAATAGAAATACGAATCGTTTATAGGAACTAGAGTGATCTTAATATATCAAAAAATGTGAAAAGGCAGCAAAAATAGCACAAAATAATTCAAATAATGAGCAAATAAGCACGAAATTTTATCCTTGCAAAGCCATTTTTTTTCGTTCGCTTTCAGAAATTTTACAAAAATTTTTTTTCTCTAAAAAAGTTGTAAATTTTGCCACCATTACCATTATATTACGGTTAAATTTATCTCAAATTAAATAAATATAAGGATAAATTTTCTGGGCATCCATATTTCACAAATTACTGGCAATAAACCGGAAATCAAAATTGAAAAGACGAATAAAACTATCGCTATAAAGCGTTCATTAGGTTTTGCAATTTGAAGATAACCAGGTGAGTCCTTCATATAAGCCATCACCCGTTGTGGCACAAGACGGCTGAACGTACCAATTACGATCTCTAATTCGCGTTAAACCCAATTTATCTTGAATTTCGTGGGGCTTCATAGCTGAAAAAAGTAAAAAAAGATTTTAAGGTTTTTTTACTTGTGCTTCACAGTAGAAGAATATAATTAATCACATAGGATCAAAAAATTTAACCTCGAGAAAATTCTTTGATCGCCCAAAAAATAAAAAATATTATTACAAAACAAAATGTTGCGAAAATACTTAATAAATAAATGATAAATGATTTGCGAAAATAGATTAATTAATATACAATATCTTTCAATATCCCTAGTAATAAAATGATATGGTATATTCATAAAAAAATAAAACTCAAAACCTTCAGTTAAGTCTTGTTTATTCGCGAATACAAGGATAATGGCATCGCGCATTTCACGATCATTGATGATCCTATGTAGTTCTTGTCGTGCTTCATCAACACGATCGCGATCAGCAGCATCAATAACAAATATCAATGCTTGAGTGCCCGTATAGTAATGCCGCCATAATGGTCGAATTTTATCTTGGCCACCAACATCCTACAAAAAAAATGACAAAATCTTAAAAGTTTCTAAAATGATAACAATAAAATAGCAACCGATTTTGAAATCAAGAAAAGGAAAAAAAATTTTAAAAAAATAATTTTTTTCTAATTCTGCCAATAATAATAACTTTCCGACATACAAGAAAACTGGGCTATTTTTGAACATTCTAAAAAAATATAACCAATTTTTTCGGTTTTTTCGAAATTTAACAAATGAACTTGTAACAATTCGTTTTTTTCATGAAAAAGTGAGCATCGATTTCAAACTCATCAATAAAAGTCAAGAATGTAAAGGAAATTTCTCGAAAAAACACAATGATGGATATTATACGAAAAAAGCAACTTACCCAAACATTAAATTTGATATTTTTATATGTAACTGTCTCAACATTGAAACCGACTGTTGGTATTGTCGTAACAGATTGACCAAGTTTAAGTTTATATAAAATCGCTAAAAAATCAAAATTCGCAATGAAAATTGAAAAAATAAACTCCATATCGGTCTGAATTAAAAATAACTTTTACTAATTCAATAACAGTAAAGTTAATCGAGCAAAAATTTCCCTTGCACCTCCTATGGATAATCTCCGATGACCTACCAGAGGTATCAGAGAGTTTGAAGGCAGTACGCGATATCTTAAATTGCTCCTTATATTGCGCTCTCCCAGGAAGAAATCTCCAGTTCCCAAAATGTGTTGGGGACATTTTTATATGTCAACACATCAACACGATGATTACCACTACTGTTATCCGTCATTTAATGCAATTTTTTATGAGAAATTAAATCAATAATTTCATTTTTCGATAAGACTTACGTTTCGAAAGAAAAAAAATGCTTTAAACAAAAATTTTTTCTTTTTTTTTTCAAATCGGTTAATAAAAATTTAAAAATTTATAAAAGATTACTAAAACTAACTTGTTTTACCAGCTGCATCTAATCCGAGCATTAAAATTCGCATTTCTCGTTTACCGAAAATTTTCGACAACAACTTTCCCATAATGTTCCGAAGCAAAGTGACAATAAATACGAAAATATTTTATATATATATAGTAACAAAAATGACCCGACCCTTGACAGGGTCAAGGGTCAACTTGATGATATTAGTAAGTTAAATATGATTAATTTAACCGAAAAGCAAAAAATCCCTTAGCGTCGGTCGATTAAACAAACCTAATAACCGACTCATAAAACCAGAAAATTTGTTCGCACAAAAAAAAATTAGAACTTGAAATAAGCGATGGCACTCTGCCAAATTTCTTAGTCGAATGTGGTCGAATTTAGCGTATCGAACTTTACACTCATTTTTCATCCCTTTCATCTTGTGCTAATAGTAAGGTACTCAGTAAGGTCGGAGGTCTAGTGGGAGAAGGTGAAGCGTTAATTGCTGTCGTATTTGTTCAAGTGGAAGATTTTGGGCCATCTGTCGCTGACATTTTAACGCCATTAAAGTAATCTGGATGGGGCGATGACCTATATCGTTAAGTGGTTCCCAGAAAATCGTTCTAACCGTACTAATAATTAATTTAGTATCGCTAGAAATCGCCAATGCTTAGGGTTAAGGGAAAAGCGTGTGGTAGATGCTGAATTCTACAAGGGGAAGTCCAAGAAATTCTCGGAAAAAATCCCCAAAAAATCCGAAGCGTTGTCGGCGACCCGCTTGTATTTCTGTTGTCCAGTGGCAAAGTTTTTTTAGTCAGGGAAGCTAATGGAGAAAGACAATCAGAAATTGTGAGCGCTTTTAAAAGAAAAAAAGAATCGAAAAGTTTCTTTATGGTGCATTTGATTACGACTTATCATTTGCTATCACTTAGTGATTACCACTTATCATAATCGATTTGTTTGATTTTCTTGAAATTTTTTCAATTTTCCATAGTTTGAAAATTTCTTCGAATAGAATAAAGGCCATTCTTTTGGCTACTAAAAAAAACTAATTGGAAAAAAATATTTTTTTTTAAAATTTAGGCTTGCTCCACTGATTTGTCGATAGGCAGCCAGGCAAATTTTGCTAATAAATCGATGGAAATATAGGTGAATCGCAGTCAATACTTTCTATATTATCTTTTTATAATATTTTTTCAAAACACTATAAAGTACAAGAAAAAATGAAAATCTATAATTTATATATTTTAATTAATTGTTTCTTAATTTAAATTTGTTTTCATAAAAACTCCAATTATTTAACATTTGAATTAGAATAGTATTGGAATTAAAAGGTTATTTATAGCTAATTCATTGGTGCTTTGGTGACATTTTGTCCAGCGATCATTTATTAATTTTTTGTTGGTGTCAACGACGTGTCCGTTTTATGCTTTGATTGGTTTATTGGTTTTTCTTCTCGAACTATTAATTGGTCTTTTCAATTATTGAATGATTTGTTGAATTGTTTAATTGAATTAATTGGTTGATTGATTTGTTGAATTTGTCGAGATGAGTTCATCAAACTAGTTTTTTTGATTCGCGATCTCCATAACGAACTATTGCATTCGCCGTTCACCGATAAGAATTATTTTTAAATGATTGTTTCAAAACCAGTTTTATGTGGGGAAAATCAAGTTTTGGTTCATCGGAATTATTGTTTAGCTGTTTTTTGAAAAAAAAATTTATTTTTCTATTTCTCAAGCTCAATTTATTTCAATTATTAAAATCTATAAGATATATAATGAAAAGGCTTAAACAAAAATTTCTAGCAAATAAATAAATTTTCCAAAATCAAATCGAAAATTTTCTAAAATCAACGATTCTAACATATCTTGGTGATAATCACTTGTGATAATTTATTATCAGTAAGGTTCTCATTTAAATTTCAAAATGTTTTGCTCAAATATAATGTTTTATTGTATGTATAAATAATTTTTTATTCGATTTTATTTGAATTCGATTTTATAAATAAAAGTGCAAAAAATATTCATATTATTAAAAAATAAAATATATTTTCTGAAAGCGAAGATAATTAATTAAAAAGAAAATTAATCTTTAAAAAAATCGAATTAATTAAAATTTTATTCTTTGTTTTCAAATATTTTAAAATAATACGATTTATTTATAATTATTTAAAATGGTACAATCGATATACATTACAAATTTGATGAATTTAACAAATAAATCGAATAAAATAAACTTTACGGAAAAAATTTAAATTTTCCTCTTGAAGGCACTCTATTTTTTTCTTATTCCTTATAATTTGCTTAGCCGACTCCACTAAGCTTAATGAAGACGAGTCCATTCGCTAGAGAACTATTGAAAAATTGAGGAATGGAAAGGTGGCCACAGTAGCCGCATGGATAAGGGAAATTAAAATAGGTGAGCGATGCTTCTATTTGTTCACTCGCTTATGAACTCATGCAATTTGAACTCTGCCACAAACTCAATCTAAAAAAGTGTAACGAAGAACGAGGAAAATTCAAAATAGGATGTTCCCTTCGTCAGCGAATATTTTAATTATTACAGATTGGAATTCGTTGGAGTCGAATTTCTTCATTTATAGACAAACCGCATGGCAGCCAATACTGATTTGTTCTATTTTTCGTATCGAATGGGTTTTTAGGTTTGAGTTTTTCGTGTAAATTTTTCGATTTTTTTTGTTTATTTGGTTGTTTGACTATAAGTGGCGACGTTGAATTTATCAAATCATTATTATATCTGAAAAAAAAAAAAAATTTTCTTAAAAATTTTATTTTTTGTCTCAAATTAATTAATTTTATATTTATCAAAAATATTTAATGCTGTAAAATTATTATAAATAAATAATTACAATATTTATCAAAAATTTTTTTTTTTTTAGAAATCGAAAGTTTTTACTTTTGAGAAATTTTGTGATAATTTGGTAGTTCCACAATTTCTGCCGTATAAAATGAACCAACGTTTGGCATATATCGAATAAAATGATTTTCATGATAACTCGGCGACGATGAAAGTTCGTTTCGTTGGTCTTCGCCACAGTTTATTGACGAATATCGTGGCAAAGCATCGATTCTATCGACAAATAATTTTACTCAAATAAATGTTATTAAAAAATTTAGCGAAGAAATTTTAAATGGATTGTAAGCATATCAAATATATTCGTTAATTTATTTTAAATCTTTTTAAAAATGAATTTCAATTAGAAATTAAAAATATTTTTGAGAAAAACGAACGTAAAAAACGTTAAAACGTAAAAAAAAAGCTTTTATTTTTTTTCGAAATCCTTTAAAATAAATTTGAATTTATTTAAAATCTCTAAAATTTAGGTAAAAAATTTTAAAAAATATTTTTTAAAATCAAAATTTATTTTTAATATCGAAATTCTTTTTTTTGCAAATCTTTTTAATAAAAGGATTTTCAATGAGTCAAAAAAATTCCTTCAAAAAAAAACCTTTTTTCCATAATAATTGGCGAATTAATCGTCCGATAAAAAGTCTTCTTTCTTGGATTTTTTCTCATATGACAGCGTGTTAAGCAAGCGATTGTTCCCAAAAATGCGAAAAATGTTGCGGGTAATATAAACGAAAAAATCATTGAAATCATATTTATTTCTCTAAAAATAACTTTATTTAATTCGACTTATCTATTTGTAATAATCCGTCGAAAATGATTATTTTTTATAATTGCAATAAATTATATGAGAAGAAAATGAAAATTTTCTATTTGCAATTAATTTTCTCTTTGGAAAAATGTTTTTTTTCAGAAATTTCCAGAAAAAGGAAATAATTATGCGTTGGTGAAAATGAATTAATCGGAAAAAAATTGAAAAAAAAACTAATAAAAAAGAAAAGGACATGAAAATGCCTCGATTGACAAAATTTTTGCTTGGATAATAAGCGACTCGCCTATCGCCAAATGATTCGCCGAGCCGAGAAACTTTATTTGATGTCCGATAAGTCAGCGGTGCAAATCTGAGCAGAAATGGTGTAGAATGGTGTTGGAAAAAAAAAAAAAAAAATGATTATCACAATTTCTAGTAATGAATTCTAAATTCTCGGCAATAAGTATATTGGAGCGGCATTCAAATTGCGTTAATAATTCGATAAGATAATTTAATAATCGAAGAAGTTTAATAATTTGTAAATATATCGATGAGTAAAGTGAGTAATTTTGTGAGTAAAAATTTATGAAATATGCAAAAATTTTAGCATTGCTCACATTCAATTCCAACTCCAATTTTGTGCTTATCTTCCAATTTGTGCTTATCACTGTCCTCTAGATTTTTAAATTCTATTTGTGCTTATCACTATCTCCCAGATTTTAAATTCTATTTGTGCTCCTCCAGATTTTTAAAAGCATTAAATCCCGTCATTTTAAGTTCAAATGATTTAAAAGATTTATACGATTTTTTATAAGTGTAAGCAAATTTTATACGAAATTTTATACGAATTGATTTCGATGCACAAATTTTTGATTAAAAAAATTTTAAAATTTTTCAATTTTTTTTTAAAAATATCATTTTGAGTTTTCAGTTGGACGTTGTTGAAATGTAAACAATTTAAATCCACTTAAATTCAAATTATATGAGAAAATTGCCCGAAAATATAAATAAAAATTAAAATATTTTCATGCAGAACATCTAAAATGTATTTCAAAAAATATCTATTCAGATGAAAGCTTAGTTAATTTTTTTAGGTTACTTCGTTATTCAGCTTTTTCATTCTATCAATTCGTTAAAATGTATATTATTTATTTATTATTTAAGCGATTCTTAAAAAGCACATGCGAATATCATGTGGAAATCCCTTAGTATTTTTATCATTGAATGATTAAATGTGGTAAAAGGCTTTAATTATATTTAAATATATTAGTTTTGCAGCAAATCAGTAATCAGTAATGATATGAGTTGATAAAACGGAGATAAATTTCATAAAATTCAAAACAGCAATTAATGAGGCTTCTTATGGCAGTTCATATAAAAAGTAATTCAAAAATAAATTGGCAAAAAATAAAATATTAATAAATCTTTCAAAATAATAAAAATTAATAAGAAGCATATAAAATTTTTATAATTTAATAAAATTTGGAAAAAAAATT